TAATTCTACTATTACTACTACTACTACTACTGCAAGGACAACAACAACTACTACTACTTCCTTTCTCTCCTTTCCCACTTTAATCCTTCTCCTTACTTTATGCTGTGAAATTTACGTCCGAATGTTTTTTTTTCAAGGCAACACTGTCCCGAGGGGCTACGACCACCTAGTTTACTGTCAGTACAATGGCGAGGCCTGTTCCTTCGTGAACTTCACGGAGCTGGTGCATCTACGATACATCCAGTGCTTCACTTTCACTCCGCAAAATCGCAAATTAGCGGGCGATCGGGGTCTGACCTTTGTATATGCAAGTCAACGTGCTGGTACGCCCTTCATGCTGTTGAACGACTTGGAGGTAGTTGATTCCCCGCCCACCCTTTCTCCAGATTGTTGTAACTAATCCTATACAAAAGAGACGCTCAGCACAGACAGGCAGAAAAATCAGTCTTCAAAAACAAACGACAATGGCGCACTTTGACCAGCAACACTGCAATAGTTGTGATTTGGCACTAAGCTCCCACTGACTTATATAGAGGCAGAATTACTGTGGAAGCTGGCGAATTCGACAATAGAAGGTTTCCAAAATCAAAAGTCAGAAAGACTGACAGAGTTGGACAGCCTTTAATTGTTAGAAAGAGCTTTACAAGAGCGGATGTTACTCTCAGTCTCCTCGGGCCAGTTATTGTTCTGTGTGTGTGTGTCCGCTAGGGTGGGAGTAAAGGACCCTGGGGCATGTTATTTGTCGTCTGCAGCCAATCAGGGAAATAGTGCAGACTGATTGGCTTCGAGCTATCGAGAGGCTAGGGCCGAGACTCGGGCAGCTGCGACCCGACCGTAAGCGTGAACAGCTTTCACAGCGGATCGAATAAGAACGTTTGGGGGTAGATTGTCGCGCACGAGGACTCCATGCTTGGCAGGTGAAGAAAAGAAGAGCCAGCAGTAGTGGTACTGATCGTAGACTCCCACAGCACCACAGTTCTGCTACCTTATCAATATTCGACACTTTGGAAAAAAAATAACGACGACGAAGGGAGGTGGAAGTTTGAAGGAGAATCCTGAGGAGTGTGCTAGGCCAGTGGTTGGTAATAAAAGCAAATATAAGATGGGGCTGAAATTAGTTCATTTTCCACAGTCATACACTATTCATACTTCGGAGTGTAAATTCGACTCAAAAAGGTGTTAATCTAGATATCCCCACGTTGGAAGTTTTAGAACACACCTTGAACTCTGTGCTCTTTTTAAGATACTTCTATATCAGATTCTCTGCCGGAGTTTTACAAACGACTGCGTTCAGATGAAGCAGTTTCGAAAAATTTGTATAAAGGCAGATTTACAGTGAGTAGCTTTGGCGACTTTTCTTATGCCATCGGTTAACACAATGAAAGTTTGTTTAGGCAAAGAAATGTGATAACAAAGCAAACGCAGGAATACCTCCCCGCTAACAGTGTATTGGCTTCGGTATAGCCCTGGGCTAGCAGTTCGAATTTGCGGGCTTGGGTTTGCCTAGTTATCAGTTTAACTGACTGCACACAAACTCTGTCAATCACGTCAAGATACAACCGGGGATATTTTGCCCGGCGGCCCTACTGACGAGAGTCGGCCAGTTGTGAAAGTAATCGCTGACCGACTGTACTGACCAATACGCTGTTTTTGAAGTCTGCAGCTCTCGGCAGAGAAGTGACGTGGGGCTCTTGTTTGCGTGCAAGTTGTGCTTGGTACCATTTTTCTAGTCAGAATCTGGTGGCATGTGCGAGGGCATGTTTAACATTCGTCTTTCTTTCGACAATCTAAGCAGCATAAAATCAGCCGCGACAGGAAGAATACGTGTCCACAGATAGC